ATGTACCAAATTTCATTAACATTCGCTTACTAATTTAAATTATATCATGAAAGCTATAACAAGCACAAAGTGGTTACGAGGTTGATCCAAAGGACGAGCCCGTGCTGAAAGAGTTAACTAAAATATAAATCTAAAATCTAAATAAAATTCAATTGTCTATGTAACTAACATATTTATAGGTAAGAAATAACACAAAAGTGCTAGCATGCATGGAAGCAGTAACAATACTAAATGCATTTGACAAGTTCTCAATGAAATTCTTTGAGCCCATGTTCAAATAACTGTTGGGAAATAGTATTCAAAATGTGGTCTTTCTACTGGTTACAAATATCTAGCTCAACCAAGTATAATTGGCTGAGAAATTGCAACTGTATGTGTAGAGTTGGTGTAGCATCTGTCAAGAGCCCCAAGAAATTTATTTCTCTTTCCACTCAGCATCCTAAAAGGGGCTTGAAAAAAGAATGTGTAAACAGAACAATTAACCTAATTTCTGTCTGTACATAGAAGTACAGTATACAGAAAGAACTGTTTAAGTTACAGAGACGAAAAGTTAAAACTTTTGTGAACTTGTGTATCAAACTGAAATTTAAGATTTTTAATAATTTTTTTTCAAATAAAGAAATTAAATCTTAGATAATATAAAACTTTGAAATATTATGTAAATTTTAATGATAGTTTCATTGGTATACATTGATAGTAAGATTGTTTAATTAAATTTTGACTGTAACAGAATAAAATCTTGTGACATACTCAGTACAGGAGTGGCCATAACTATATGGTTAATTGAGTATTATTACATCATAATATCTAGTGGTGTGTGGAGCAATCTCTTTTGTTGGGGTATAAATACGCATTGAAAATTTAGTTTGAAAGAAAGAAAGAAAGATCTAAACTACATGATTGTGAGTTTAGCCATAAAGAGAGTATAGTGGCAATTTTTAAAGTGAAATTATCACAAGACTGTATTGTAATAAGAGAAGAGAAAGAATAATTTGTCTTGTCAAATTGTATACTGAAGTAACTGCGCCAGCCTGTGTGGACTTTAACAAAAAAAGAGACAATTAGTTAAAGAACTGGATACAACTGTGATAACAAACAGTGTAACGAACATTTGTATAAATGTTTGACTTGCTTTAATATATTATTTCAAAATAAGTGGAGTGTGTGCTGTTTATTTATTGTTGAAATTTATCACCAACAAATCACAGGCACCTACTGTAAAGAATTTGGCTTATACAAAAAAGAAGTCTGACAAGATAAAACAGCCAGATGGAGAAGAAATAAAATGACGAACATGTGGGAGACATCCACATGCTCACCCGGAGGATCTCGTCAAAGAGCTGGTGAAAATGAGAAGCAAGAGAATGAAAAAGGTGAAGAATTGGATGCAAAGAAATGTAAAAATAACCTGTGAACATCTACACCCAAGGAAGAATAAACCAGGCAGGGGAGTTGATGAACCTTATCCAGTAAGGACAGAAAAAAAGGGGTCCCAGGTGGAGAACAGATGAGAACAGGGACTCCTAAGATAAAAGAAGTTGTCCGTGATAAGTAAAATCAAGTAGCTCAAACAGGACACAATAGTCAATTTGAGTTTGAACAATCATGGAGGTGAGAAACAGTAGGTAAGGAGATAGGAGAGACAGGACATTTATCCTCCCAAACAGAAGTCTGAGGAGGGAAAGACCAGTCCTTGTAGAAGAGTATATAAATGCAGTGGAAGAGTGAGTGAGAAGTATCAATAGCATAAGAATCTAAAACCACACTCAAGGATATCGACCAACCTCGGTTGAACAACTGAATAAAAAAGGCAGGAAAGTGATATACAGTAGAATGGCCAGGAGAAAAGGAGTGGTGGATGTATCAATGAAGAAAGATCTTCACTTCCATCAATAGATAAAGTGCAAGGGCTATAGGCTATAGAAAACCAAGGTTGAGTTGGCCGTAGAGGCACCACAGTATGACTCGAGAAGAAGTGTTCCGTATCAAGTCAAGAACCCAAGGAAGAAGTTGAAGAGGAGGACAGGCATATAGAGAAAAGGTGAGACCAGTCCTGGCTGAGTGCTTCAACAACCAAAGCCTAAGGACGAAGAACAAGTGGCCAGAACAGAGGAAGAATGGAGTCGAGAGGGAAAAGACTATTCTTTGGGTATAAAGCAGTCCAGCTGAGAGAAATGGCCCACTACAAGGTACATAGCTCCTGGAACATCACAGGCAACAGGACGTACTTGACGTGAATGAGCTCAGAACAGTAGAACCAACACCCGAAAGCAAAGGGTCCTGGAACAGTTGCCCCCTTGATGGTTGATATAAGCAACAATTATGGAATTGCTGAAGTGCAGCATGACCAGTTAATTCATTAAAAGGGACAGGAAATGGGAACATGACAGACAAACAGAGAGAAGTTCAAGCACACTGATGTGGAGTAAACACTGTCCTGCTTCCAAACACCAGAAGCCATGTTATTGTCCAGAGGTGCACCTCAATCCAAGAGAAAAGCCTTGGGGATAGAGATAGATCCAGTTTGGGAGTTGGCAAGGGAATGCCAAATGTAGTATTGGCATTGTCTAGCAACACCATGACAATTCATCAAGGAAAGGAGAGGGGAGGTTCACATTTAAGAACAATGGAACCTGAGAAAGAAAACCATGGATCCTCAAGACCACTGAAAGAGGCACATGTATGCATGCCCCAAAGGAAAGTGGGGTTCCAGGTATGCCAGAGTCCCCAAAAGCAAAAGAACCCCTACCCCTCACACAGAATGAAAAGTGCAAATCCTGGTAACCAGATATCCAATAACTTGCAGGTGAAGAAGAGAAGGCTGAGCTCAGCTGAGACAAGAGAAGAAGAAAATGCCCAGACATACAAAATAATGAGTTGGCATAAGAAAGGACTTGTATATTCTTACAAGTAGCCTTCTGCAAAAAAAAAGGGAGGTGTAAGAAGATGATTCCACTCAAGAACAGACCATTAGAAGTCAATCATCTAAGAAAAAGAATGACAGTCCCAGGCCGTGAAGATGGTGAGAAAATGAAAACCCTCTGTTGGCAGAAAACTGGTACCAACTGCTGACAAAGAAATGAGTACCCATAGGGCCTGAAGTGACAGGAAGTCACTGACAAGAAGAGTGATGAATCAGTTGTTGGGTAGTGGGAGGACGAATAAAAAGAGGAAAGTCTAGAACATAGAATGGGAAGGATAGAGGTAGACTGATCCAGAGAAGGAACAGCAGTCAAAGGGCAAGGTTCCAGAAAAAATAAAACCCTGGGAAAATAACAAGGACTGAAGTCGTGCATATTCAGTCCAGGTTTACAGTGAGAAATGAACATTGCCAAGGACATCCAGGTGAACAAAGAGAGCCTGTTGAAGACTATTTATACAAGAAGAAGGAAGGTGTACAGTAAAGAGGAACGCAACTCAACAAGTTTCAAAAGCAGGGGAACTAAGTAAGGACTGACAAAGCAGAAGAAGTGGAACAGGCTGAGCTGGCAAAGAGAAAGGCACAAACAAACATCTACATAAGCCCCTCAGGAGCATGATGAAGTGCTTCAGATGGAGGAAAGGTAATACAGGAGGGTATGGAGAAAAAGATGAAGACATAAAAATATGGACCAAAGAGTGAAATAGAAGGCAAGGGGCCCAATCACCAAGCAGGTCCAACAGATACCAAAGACACAGAATCTAGAAAGCAAAGGAGAAAATGTCTTCAAGTCAGGATAAAAGAGTCATGAATGCGAGGAAGACAAGGAATTTGAGTTTGAGTGAAGTGCTGTTAGAGAAAGTAAACAGCATAAACCCTAGTAACAAGAAAGGAGGAAAGACTAAGCAATCCCAAGAACTGGGTTCATGGAATGAAAAACCTGCAATATTAAAGGACACAGGTGAAAGATAAGGAAAGGAACATACTTGAGAATGAAATCCAGAAAGAGATCGGAAGGTTAAGGCACAGCCCAAAGCAAATCAGGTTAAATTCGTAGTCCAATAAGCCATTCATAAATGAGGAGAAAGAAAATCAGCTAAAGGGACAGGATTAGGAGGCCTAGTAAGCATGTTGTAACCCACAACACATTGGACAAAGACTGCAATGTCCTCAATAGTCAACAAGCCTCTAGAAGCCAGAAGAAAGAAAACCTCTGTGTGTGTTACCTCATCACTCACACAGGACTAAATAGAAGTCACTATCATTTGAGAATTCAAGATAATAATCAATGCTTTTAAAACAAAAGCTAATGGAAAATGAAAACCCAAGTTTCCTTAAGAAATGCAAATCTCATCAACTTGAACTTAGACGAGAAATTTGAACACGCCTGTTCAATGTAATGCTGAGAAAAAGAATAAAGTTACCATAAGTGCAAGAGGATAGGGGAATTCACTGCACATGGAGGTTGTGTTATCCTCCTATTGGTGAAGGGCTATTGTTGTATGATAATGCCATTATGCACCGTCACAGTTCATGTTAAGCACATGCATTTAGTTGGAGTTAGCTCAAGGGTAGTGGCATGCAAGTCTCATAGCCAGACACGAGAAGGAACTAACATTTCTGTGTGAACAAGTTACCTATCATCTCAGAATTTGATATACAGCATTCTGTATCTAATCTCTTCGTATATATGTAGTATATATATATATATATAATAACACACACACACATATATATACATAATAAATACTAAAATAATAATAAACTAAAAATAAAAAGTAAAATTACTTAAACGTTACTAACTTTACCCTTTAGTTTTTTTAGT